AAGCTGCCAGATGATAATGTAGGGTTTATTTTGATAAATTTTATTTCACCTTAATTAAAATGTCATAGCCGCCTAGTAAACTAGAAATCCAGGAGAGTTGGAAACAATTTTGTTTTTTTGTGTTAGATGTTGCCCCAAATTTCTGTCGAAGAGTTACTGAGTAACCACAGCAAGAGCTCAGCTCTACTATTTGTCCTCTGCCAAGGTCTTAACTCTTGGATCCAAAGACTGGAACAGCCCAGGCTAGAAGGCAAGGGTGGGAGCCACCTGAATTACCCGCATGGAGGAGTTACTCCTCACACTAGAGGCAGGGCGACAGAAAGAGGAATTTTTTTATTTTATTAATGACCTTGAAGGAAGTACTTTTATAAAAAAAGAGGATGGAATGCTACATTCTATTCACCCCATGGCTCCTCAAGTCTTTCCCAGAAACGGCAGAGCAGAGGCCCTCCAAGATCGTTTTCAACCTCGTTTCCACTCAGAGCAAAGAAAAATAGTGCGATGCAGAAGTAGAAAATCTTCAAAAACTTTTACTTGAAAAAATTTCTTAAGCCTGCCTCCAGAAAGGGTTAGACGTTTCCATGAAGTGTGATTTAAATATACAGTTATTAAAACACTAGAATACTGATGACTGTGTGTGTGTGTAAGGCGAGATACCCAGCTTAGTTTGCCCAGCATACAAGCTCTATTTCTTTTTCTCATCTAACCAGTCTAAGATGAACCAAGAGGAAAGGGATTTGGTGGCATCAAAACCTAGACAGTGAAAGCCAAAAGGAACTGTGTGTAATGAGAATGAGAAACTAAAAAGACTCCAAAACACCAGCTGAAAATCTGAAAATCTCGTTTGGAATGTGCATCAGAGACAGATGCTTTATAATACAATACGGGTATCCACTGAAAAAGGTGGTAGGGCCCTGGGTTCATTTCTGGTTCCTGGATTTTGAGGGAATCATGGACAAACTTGATAGCCACCTTCCAGAGGAGAACCACATGGGGACATCTGGTAGGACCTGCCCCTAGAAAGCAACTGGACACTGAATTTTAAGCAAGGAAGACATGGACATCTGTTCATCATTATCATGTAGTACAAGACCTGTGAGACAGGCAGACAAGCATTTGAATCTCAGCTGTGCTGAGATCTGTCATTTAAGGCAAGTTCTTAGCCCTTGTGGATAGCCGTTTTCTCACCTGTAAAGTGGGCATACTAGTAACTTTCTGGTAGAGCTCACAAAAGAATTATATAATCTAATGCCTGTAAAGCACTTGGCATAGACCCTTGTATATAGTAAGTGTTTCTAAATGACATCTATTATTGTTATATTCAAAGATTTAAAGAATTTGGCCTAAGCTGATATGAAGTAATGGTTAAATTATAGTGGAATATCCTAAGAGCCGTTAGAAATTATTTGACCAGGCAAGGAAAATCTAAACACCTCTGTTCCAACTCCAGATACTGAATTGGGCTTCTCTCATTCCTTCTTTCTCCTTTGTCACAAGCCAGCAGCTCACCTGCTTCTAGTTCCTCTTCGTCATATCCTGGCATTCCTCTCACCCCAAGCTGCTTGGAATACAACACCGACACCCTTGTTGCTGACAGTCAAGACCTTTTTGAATAGGTGACACATTGACATGTCCAGAAAGAGAAAATGAAGAAGGTGCAGCGACATATTGACAAGTTTTTTTCCCACTCCTGTCTGTCCAGCCCTCACCCAGATCAACCCTACTTTGTGATACAAAAGGTAACATGCTATATAAACACTGCTCCGCGACTTGCTCTTTCCACAAATCATCCTGGAAAGCTTCCATTTCAGTAAATAGCAAGCATCTCCTTTTTTTATTTTTGGCATAGTTTTCAGAGTGGGGATGTACCTCGGTTTACCTAACTTGTCCCCTACAGAGGGAAGTTGTTTCTAATCTGCTATTACAAATCGGGTTACAGTTGGTAATCTCATTGATACCTGTACAGATATCCAGAATACATATCCTGAAGTGAGATTCCAGTGCAAATTCATTTGTAATTTTGGTATCACCAAATTTCCCTTCAAAAGGTTATACATTGTGTTCTCAGCAGCAGTGGATGAAAGGGCCTATTTTCTCACACTCTAGTAAGAGAGTACACCATCTAACTTAGTTCATCTCTTTAATACTAAGAGTTTTTAGTGATAATCCTTTTTTAGGAAATCAGATGGGAAAAGTGCAGCAGAAACATAACAGGGAAGTACAGTGCTTTGAAGTCTTGCAAAGAATCGTTGAGGGATGCCCGAATTAGCAGGTGAAAGTTTGATGAAAACCAATATATTTACATACTCTTGAAGTATCTTCCCATAAGATAATTAATAAAAAGGGAAAAATTATAATTTGACAGCAGAGAAATAAACTTGGCAGACATTATCAATGTTAGTATCACCTGTGATGGGTCAAATTAACATACTGATACGATGCCCGGAGAAGGACACAATATTACTTCTGTAGTATTCCTGCCAAAAGAAAGCCAATTTCTATGTAATCCTAAGTAAACCTCATACATACATAAATTGAGAGACTTTTTAGTCTAGATTCAAAAAAATGCCAAAGTCGTAAAAGACAAAAGATAGCAACTGTTCCAAACTAGAAGGCACTAAATAAAGAGACATGACAACTAAATGCAATGTGTGATCCTAGACCAGGAGATGGGAAAACACATTTTTTTTTTTACTTGGCACTACTAAATCAATGTTTCCTAAGTTGTGGTCCAGGGCATTCCCAACACCTTTCAGTGTGTGGGTAAAGTCCAAACTATTTTAATATGTAACTATTTTAATAATAATATTTATATGTTATTTAGCAAGTTCTAAACGGATCCTGGGGCCAAAAGTTTGAGAACCACTGCTATAAGGAACATTAGCGCGACAATTGGTAAACTTATAAAAAGGCTTATAGATTTGTACTGTATCAATATCAATTTCCTGACTTTGATCACTGTACTTGTGGTTTTGTAAGGAGTTATCTTTGTTTTTAGGAAATTCATACTATTTAGGAAGAAACATACATTATATTTGCAACTTCTAAGCAGTACAGAAAAATAATATGTATTATAAGCACACACATATATATGATAGAAAAAGAAAATGAAAAGGAAGTGCAGTAAAATGTTAACATTTTATCAAAGTTAACATTTGGGGACTCTAGGTGAAGGGTTTATAAGAATATTTTTTACTGTTTTTGCAACTTTTCTATTAATCTGAAATTTAAAAAAATTTTTAAGTCTTAGTCTTACAAAGTTCTTTTAACATTGTCACCTCCTGATCTTTTTCCCGACTCCTGCCCCAGCTCCATTGACCAGACTCTCCTATGTGCTCTCCCTGTGCATACTTTAAGTCATATGACCACTGGCATTGATTGGGACTTTCATCTTCATGTCTGGCTTCTGCTATGAAGCATGGGGCATGAAGCGTGAAGTCATCTTTCTGTCCCCAGACTCAGCTCCATGCCTGGTACATACTGGCATTATTCACTGTCTGTTAACTAAATGATTGTATGGATCAACAAATGAATGGAAAAATTTAACCCAACCCATGATGCATGTCCTTATCTACCAAGGCAGGTGGTCTGCACCCTTATCTTTTTTCCTGCACATGTTCATTAGACCACCTGCACCGCTTATGCAGGGTCCCCCTCACCTGCCCTCCTCCAGGGACCTCCTTTGCAAGTCACAAGTCTTAACAACAACTACAAACCCTAATAGCTTGTTCCTGTCTCAGGGTCTCTGTCCATTTCTTCCATGTGGGCAGTTCTTTCCTAAGATTTTTATTGGCTCTCTCCCTCCTTTCATTCTGGTCCCTTTATGTCAGTTCACTAAGGAGACCTTTCCTGCCACTCTTTCCAAAACGGTAACTTCTCTACCTTCCCCATCACTTTCTATCCCTTCTCCCTGATGGATTTTTCTCCATTAACATCTGACTGACATGCTATTTACATACATATTTTAAATATATTGATTATTTATGTGATTGCTGTGTGTCTCCCCTGACTGGAGTCCCCTTAAACTAGAACGGTTAAAGAACTCTAGAATTCCTGTGACTGCACCAGCTTCCAGGAGTCTTCAATCACACAGAAGGCAACATACGTACCCAGCATATACTGCTGCAGCAGGCCTTCTGACACTGTTTTTGGCTGTTTAGGATGAGGAAAACAAAAACAAATCTGCCCTTTATCTCCATTAGTTTGAATTTATTTTATCTCCCCAATACCAAAAAAAAGTAAAACTAGCAATACACACCAAGAAATAGAATTAAGTGCGTTTGCTTTTAAAGAATTCTCAGCAGTTGCCCGTAGGTTTTCCACCTGCCTCACACTCTATCTCCTGATCCCCCAGCAGAATTTCACCAGGCATCTCCCAATCAGCTCATCCACCTTAGAAATATCCTTGACAAGCACCCTGTGGCCCCTGGTCCCGTGCTCCCCACTCATCATACAGGGCTGAGCAGGGAATGGTGCCATCTGTGGATCACAGGTGCACCCAGTGTGTATCCTGCTCTGGGTCACAGACATGTCAGCACTCAGAGGCATGAAGCTGGCATCTCATTTCGGAATATTCTTCTCTCCACTCTGACTAGATAACACAGGCTCTTTCCCTAAAGAAAGTTGAGAAAGAGAGGACATTGCAGCGAGCAGAAAGAAGGCTAGATGTGTCTGGACAGTCACCCTGGCTAGTTGTATTCACCTGTTTTCTCCCTCCTGGTTTGGTTAGCCAGGAAAAAAAAAAAAATCCTGCCAAGTTCTCTCCAAGCCACTTTCTGACCAAGTTTGAATTTGTGAACATGTTCTCCCCCTCCTTTTCTATAAAGATGAAGAAGCCAGTGAGGGAGGATGGGGAAGGAAGGTGTCCTTGCTTTCCCTGGACCTGACTGAACTTTAAAACCTCTCTGCTAATTAAACAACAGTGGGCTCTACCCTTTGCTTAACCCTGTGAGCTGGTCATCAGCCTTTGACCTCATCCTCCCTCCTCACCAGCTCCCTCCCCCACCTTGGCCTCTGGAACCTCAGCCAGATTTGGAGGAAAGAACCAGTTTTCAGAGGGGTTGCCTCAGACCACACTATCTCCACTCGCCCAGCCTGTGAAAGACTAGCGACCATGTTTTCCAACAGGATGGGAACTGTAGCTGCTGCAAAAAGGTAAGAGGGGCCAGCTTCCCCTTCACGTGCCCTCCTGGGGGTTCTGACCTCTGAAGGACTCTGAGCATGACCTCGAAACCTTCGAGAAGACCAGGTGTCTCCTGGTAGTCACAAAGACTCGTTTGGAAGACGTCAAACCCGGCGCCCTCCCACCCACCCTACTCTCGCTCTCAGGGTGACGCTTTTCCTAAGCCACACCTAGGCTTTTCCTCAGCTCAAGAAACAGAGGAATGTCATCGTCCCTCCTGTGCGGATGCTGCACCAGCCCCCACGGCAACCAGGGCCGCTCTGGGGCATTCCCAGGGCCCGCCGGCGCCGGCGCGAGGGGACACATAACCTCTGAGGCCCTCCTGACTCCGCTTCAGCTCCTCCTTCCTCTCGGCTGCTCGCCTCCAAGATCTCAGCGACCTCTGACCCAGGACGGCAGCTCTGTTCCCTTTCCTCTGGAGATTCCTTCCCCCTTGACAACACCACACTCCCCCTTGATCTGGGTTGTTCTAGGAGGCTCGATGTGGGCTGTGGCTTAACAACCTTGGTTTTCCTTTGTGCGCAGAGAGCTTCCCATTCCCTCCGCCTCCACTTCTATTTACAAATGTAGCTGAGGAAGAAAGTGGAAAGACATGACAGCAAGGTTTTCCTTCTGCTTCCTCACCCTACCTTCCATATCCACTCCCCACGCCAGGGCCTCCGCTTGTCTCCTGGATGTGCCCCCTGAAAGGGATGCAGAGTGGGCCTCGGATCGCCGAGAACCCCTCCGCCGCCGGCCCCAGCTGCCAGCCGGCCCCACGCTGACCCAGCTGACCTCCTCGGCGAGCACTTCATACTCGATGTCTGTCTTTCCTGCCAGGGGGAGATTGAGAGACAGGACCACAAACAGACTCCCTTCTCCAGCCCCCGGGACCGCAAGTCGGCCTGAGGGAGCCCCTGCCCACTCTGTCTTATCTACAGAAATATTATGAGAGGTTCTCTCTTGGTTTGCTTAACGGGGTACCACAATTCTTCTAATTTGCCAAATACATGATCTCATTTTTTAAAATGTGAGCTTAGGTTCGTTTACCTTTAGGGAATCCATGTTGGAAGCTATTGAAATTTCCAGCCAACAGAAACCTGAGCTAAGGCAGTGAGAGAGCCAGGAGACAGAATTAATCGAGTCTAGGGTCTGACTCAATGGAGAAGGTGAGAGGGGGACCCCCAGGGTGACTCCCCGGTTTCTGGATTAGATGACAATGTGCATGGGGGACCCATTTGCTGAATTGGACGAGGTAGAAGGAGAAGCAGGTATGTGGGTGAGCAAGACCAATGCAGTTTGCTGTATCTCAGGAATCTGCAGGGCATTCAGGGGGCATTGTTCAGCACACAGCTGTGTGGAGCCCAGTGGAAGTGTTAGGCTCAGTCTAGAGACTTCAGCACATAGGTGGTGCTGTGCCTCGTTCATTCCTTCTCACCCGTGTGTATACTGAAATCTCTGCTCCATCAATCAAAATCCTTCCCACCTTTTATCATCCAGGTTCAATTCCATCCTTCTCTAATGCCTCCTCTTCCTCTCCTAAGTCTTCGCTGGGCATGAAAGGTCCCTGCCTGTTTTCCGTATGTGTATGTCCCATGTCACCAACTGGAAGCTTGACCTTCCTTCTTTCTCCCAGCACATGGCCTGTGCACACAATACTTCTGATAACCATGAAGCAATAGTTGATTCCAATTTCAACATGATTGTGTCCAGGCAAATATAATCACCCACCTGCAAAGAGTCCAGGACTGGGCCCTAGTGCGCTGAAAGAGTTTTGGCCCTCCCCCTGGCCACACCAGGTGGGCTGGAATTCTGTGCTTTACAAGGGCACGTCTGTGATGGGCAGTGGGGTAGGGAGCTCCCAGCCTAGCTTAACTCAGCTTTCTGTCCCTTATAGGAGGACATGTCTTCTCTCCTTACTGCTCATTGGCCTCTGGGGCTGTGTGACTGTCACCTGTCACGGGAGCCCTGTGGAGGACATCTGCACAGCCAAACCTCGGGACATCCCTGTGAATCCCATGTGCATTTACCGTTCCCCAGAGAAGAAGGTGACTGAGGAGGAGGGCTCCGAGCAGAAGGTCCCTGAGGCCACCAACCGGCGGGTCTGGGAACTGTCCAAGGCCAATTCCCGATTTGCCACCGCTTTCTATCAGCACCTGGCTGACTCCAAGAATGACAATGACAACATTTTCCTGTCACCCCTGAGTATCTCCACAGCTTTTGCTATGACCAAGCTGGGTGCTTGTGACAACACCCTCAAGCAGCTAATGGAGGTACAGTCCAAAGCCTTCTTTCCCAGCCTCCTTACTGGGGCAGCCAAGGAAATGTTTATGCCAGGTCTAGAGCCCTTCAAAGACTGTAGGTGGTATCCCAGTCTCTCTGTGTTTCCCTTTCTCCTTCCTATGCTTTTTTCCCTTCTTTTATCTATTTATGCATTTAGAAAACATGAGCTGAGCATTTATGCTGTGCCAGGCCCTGGGCTTGAAGGTGGCTCTTGGTCAGCAGCCGGCGGGTGTGCTCTCTAGGTATGTTAGCCAGGCCGCCCTCCCAGAACCAGCACCATTTTCTTTTGGTTTCTACAGGTTTTTAAGTTTGATACCATCTCTGAAAAAACATCTGACCAGGTCCACTTTTTCTTTGCCAAACTGAACTGCCGACTGTATCGAAAAGCCAACAAATCCTCCGAGTTGGTATCCGCCAACCGCCTTTTTGGAGACAAATCCCTTATCTTCAATGAGACCTATCAGGACATCAGTGAGGTGGTATATGGAGCCAAGCTCCAGCCCCTGGACTTCAAGGTGAGTGGCAGCTGTTATCCCTGACCTCAGAGTTCTTCCTCTGCACCCAGAAATTGAGGAGGTATAGAAACAGGATGCAAATGAACACTGCTTTGCTGGTTGAAGGCAGGTGGGCTATCAGTCAGTCAGAACTCCCAGAATACTGTCTTCTCTTCTTGCTCGGAACCTAGGAAATCAATGGTATCTAGGGCTTAGATTGTAGTAGCTGCTCTGAAAAAGTTGTATAAATAATTTCAAATATATACCAAAAACTATTCTGGAGATGCCAGTCCTATAAGATATCTTTGTTAATTTAATTTCTTAAATTCACCATGGTCAAATAAAATTGGTGTATAGTGCATGTGAGCGTCTCCTCTTGGAGGTTCATGAGGCAGATGGGCTTAATGCCTACGGAGTTTTCTGAGAAGTCCTACAACAAAGAAATATTGGCTTTATTCAATGAGCATTTCTCAAACATTTTTACCGCAGGCATCCCTCCTGCCCCCCACCCTTGCAGTACTCATCTGCTTCCCATAGAACATGTTTTGGAAACCTGAACCTCAAGAGTTCAGGTTTCCAGTCAGAGAAGGTAATATTTTGTTTTCTTTCTCCCAGACTATTTTCTCCTTCTATGTTCCTTTATTTCTTCCTACCTCTCTTTCACTTCCTTTTTCTCCTGTTAAATTCATTAACTATATGGAAGATTCATGGCACTATACTAGGTATGTAAGATTTCCCCGATCTGGGTTAGATTGGTGGTTTAACCAACAAGTGGGAAAGGACAGAGGGATGATGAATAAGATGAACTGGTACACAGGGAAATGGAGAAGCCAGTCAAATAGCACAGGTTAAGGCAGCTTTGTTTCCTGTTCTCCACAGGAGAAGGCAGAGGAGTCCAGACTGACCATCAACAAGTGGATAGCTAACAAGACTGAAGGGCGCATCACTGACGTCATTCCCCCGGACGCCATCAACGAGTTCACTGTTCTCGTGCTGGTCAATACCATCTACTTCAAGGTACTCAAAATGGCCTTGGAGAGACCCAAGAAATGAATGCTTGCCCTCCAGCTTACCCTCTTTCATGCCATTGGGCATGTATAGTGGATCCTTTCTGATAAACAGTTCATGTGTGGTCTGGAATGAGATACACATTTGATGAATGTCTAGAACCATGTCTAGGGCCATGGCTGCTGGCCTGAAGTCCAGGGAGGTCTGTTAATGTTTCTGGGCACAAACAGAGCGTACACACTCACAAACACAGCATGTCCCAGCTGCGAGGCATGCATGGCAATAAACTCTCACACATATGTGACAATTTCTGCTGTCCAGTTAACTCCATTTTGAAATCTAGGACAAACTGACAGTTTGTCAACAATCCTCAGAGATGAAATTTTTTTCCATCATGTGGAGCAGCTTCTCCAGTGACTCAAAGCTCTCCTGGCCTGAAGCTTTTGAAGCTCCAGGTGCCAGGCTCACCTCAAACTTTGCAAAGGCCCTTTGATTTGATGATGCAGATGGCCTTGTCTTTTTCAGAGAATTAGGAGTTCTAAAGACTGCTCCAACTTGATTGAATTTGAGGAGGGTGCGGGAGAGGGTATGGGGAATAAACAGATCAGTGATATTCAGGAAGGCCACCAGTTTAAAGCAGGTAGAATCGTGGCCAGTTTGCCCATCCTGGGTCACACTCCATATGCATCCCCCACCGCACCCACAGGGCCCAGGGAGTAGCCAGTCACTGCTGGTTGCTAACCACTCTGTCTCTTGGGGTTTCCTTCTTCTCAAAAGTGGAGTACGTTGTGTTTCCACAATGGATATTTACCCTTTACAGTTCATGAAACACTGTGCTGTTTATTAGCCCTTTTTATCCTTATAACATCACAAATGAGACCTTGGGCCATTCATAAAGATTACTAAATTTAAATCCTGACTCTTTCGTTTCCAATTGTGTGAATGCAGGTGAATTATCTGAGACCTTTCTATGTTCCAATTTTTGCACCTGTAAAATGGCAATAATGCTCTACATACCTTGCAGGGTTAATGAGGGGGTTGAATAAGTTAATGCATGTAAAATGCTTAGAGCAGTGCTTAACACACAGTAAAGCCTCCTACAAATATCAGCGATCACCAGTTCCTAATTTTATAGGTGAGGAACGACCCCTCAAAGAGTTAAATGACTATGCCAAAATCAAAGAGCCAGAAGATGACAAGGAATGGTAATTCTGGCTCAGAAATTTCAAAGGGGTGTCTTGTAATCCCAGGGCTCCTCCTGCTTTAAATAAGAAGTTTGCCAGGAATCACCCCCCTGCCTGGCAAGGCTCCCAGAAGACTCCTGGGGTTATTATCTGTGTCTGGCCTTTACCTGTCTGGGACAGAGCCCAGCATTTTGGAGGGTGGCCTTTGAGAAAGAGGCTGGTGGGAGGCTAAAAGCAAAAGGCAGTAAACTCATTAAGAGACTTGTGAATAGGCGAGTAGGTTGTTTTTATTTTTCTCATTATAAAAGCAAGTAGTCACTGCTGATAATCGTGGAAATAAGGAAAAGTTAACAGAAAACAGAAAAACACATAATTCCGTCACTCTAACAAAGTCATTGTTAACCTTTTCATGCCTATCCTACTCATCTTTTTCCTAACAATTATACTCATATTAATGTAATACATAATGTGGATATTTCCATGCCATATTCTCCTCTGGATGCTTTTTGGTCTTCTTGTGATTCTCCCACTTGGTGTCTTCTTCCAGGGGCTGTGGAAGTCAAAGTTCAGCCCTGAGAACACAAGGAAGGAGTTATTCTACAAGACTGATGGGGAGTCGTGTTCGGTATCCATGATGTACCAGGAAGGCAAGTTCCGCTACCGGAGTGTGGCAGAAGGCACCCAGGTGCTTGAGCTGCCCTTCAAGGGTGACGACATCACCATGGTGCTCATCCTGCCCAAGCCTGAGAAGAGCCTGGCCAAGGTGGAGCAGGAACTCACCCCAGAGGTGCTGCAGGAGTGGCTGGAGGAGCTGGCAGAGACGCTGCTGGTGGTCCACATGCCCCGCTTCCGCGTGGAGGACAGCTTCAGTGTGAAGGATCAGCTGCAAGACATGGGTCTCGTGGACCTGTTCAGCCCTGACAAGTCTAAGCTCCCGGGTCAGTGGGGGAAGGGGGAAGGACACTCCTCCTCTTTCTGTTCCCAAGGTGGTCTGAACAAAGGCGGAAGCCTTGGAGGAACAGTAGTGAAGAGCAGTGAGTCAGGGCACCTGGGCTCTAATCGCAGGCCTACTGCTGACTCAGGGGAGCCCCTTTCCCTCTGGAGGTCTGTTTCCTCCTCTGTAAAAGGGAGAGTCTGCTTTTGGATCCCTACTGGACCCCTTTGCATTTGTAACTAATAAAGGAGATAGGACCAGGGAGAGAAGAATTTGAAAATGTATCAAAGTCAGAGCAGAGAGACAGATACGATTAAGAGGTGGGGACAGCTGAATCCCACAAAATAGGTCTAGACATTTAATCGCCTTCATCTGCTCTTCCACAGGGCTCATGTGTTTTCCTTAAGGTCACCTGGACAGGTACCACCAACCTTCTCCCAGCTGTAATACTTGAGTAACGATGTTCAGTAGGTTTGGTTCCTCTAGCCTACCATCCTTTTAAAATATGAATGAAAATGTCTCTTTTTTAAAAAGAAGTTTATGATGCCAGGCAATTGGATTTCTTTGAATGTGCTTAAATATGTGGCCAGGCTGGGAAGAATGACATTCCTACTCAGTGGAGTGTGAGTTTCTCTTTAGTAGGAGTTCCCTGCCCTCCTACCCCCATCCAAGAGCTGAAGCGTGAGATCAAACTCGCAGGAGCCCAGCCAAGCAAGCCCAAGCACTTCATTATTTTTAACATGTATTTATTTAGGGGATATCATTATGTGAGGGGCCAGGATTTCAATTTTTTAAAAAGGCTCCCAAAGCCCTCCCAATCCAAATGGAATGCCTTTCTGTGAGTGGAGGCCAGCCTTCTCCCATTTCACAGTGCCTTCCCTGGTCTTCCTTCCAGGTATCGTGGCAGAAGGCCGGAGTGATCTCTACGTCTCGGAAGCATTCCATAAGGCATTCCTTGAGGCGAGTACACCTCCCTTCTCTCTCTCTTCTTATGCTGCTTTTTTATTCCTGTGCTGCATTGTTATTCAATCATCAACAGCCCATGTGGTTTGTGACTTTAGAGGTCTTGCTCCCCTGGTTCTTGTGGTGTAGATGGCAGATGCTTGAAGGGCAGGACGTGATTGTGGAGAAAGGCATGTGCCCAGTGTCCCTCAGACCCAAACCTCCCTCAGACCCAAGCCTCAGGAGGACTGAGGCTTGCTACCAGTCAGCCCTGCCCTGAAGCCCTTGTGGTCCAGGTGTCCACCCTCCCTCCCACTCCCTCTCCTGGAGCAGGACAAGCAGGAGCACCGGAAAGGGGGAGGGAGGGTGACAGGAAAAGTGCCAGCCAAGGCTACTGAGAAGGAATTCAGAGGAGAACTAGGAAGAACATGGGCTCATGGAAACCAAGGGAGGAGTTTTGAGAATGCATCTAGTAACAAGATTGACAAGTGACCACGGGTTACCTTGCCCTGAGGAATTTGGACAGAATAATGGGGACACATGTCCAACTGTAATAGTTGAAGAGTGAATGGAAGGTAAAGAAAAGTTGCTGGTGAGTGTGGATCATGTCCTAAAGTGTGTTCTGGAGAACTAGAGCTCTGGACTACACTGCAGGAAAGAGAAAGTCAGGTGGTCAAATTTCCTGCTTGAGAGATCAACAGTGCACCCTCGCGTTTTGAAGTCTGAGAAGTTCCAAAGCAAAGAAAACAGTTCCATATTGCTTAACCTAGTGCTTCCCCAATTGAGGTTCCCATGAAACCCTTTATTAGAGTAATAGCACCTAAAGCCTGTAGAACTTCTGGTTTCAGACAAATATTGAACTATGGACCAACAGTTCTAGTTATCTGGGGAGTCTGACTCATGGAAATTCCAGGATGTGACCTGAGAATCAGAGTACTGACAGAGCGTCTCAAGGGACTTTAATGGATAAGCATGTTTAGTATTTACTTGTTTAGACTATTCTGGGGGGGAACCAGGATATGAGGAAAATGAGAAGGGTCAGTATTTCAGTATTAGAGGTCACAGGATTGAGGAAATCACAAAAAATGTTGTGGTCAACAAGAGAGGTTTCAGAGAATGGTGCTCAACGTCCAAGCTCAAGTGGGAAGTAAGTAGTCAGGAGGAAAGTGGAGGGATCAGGGGACAGGAGGAAGTCAGGTTAATTGTAATGGAAGTGAGGAAATGCGATAGTGTGAAAAAACAGAAGGTCTTTAGTTTGAGAGAAGGATAATGTAATTATTATAAGTTCAAAGATAGAGCAATTCTGAGAGATGGCAAGTTCAAGGCACAGCCATGGGACTAGTTCGTTTAAGAAGAGTGAAGGGTTTGGGGAGATGAAAGAAATGGGAGGTTAGGGTGGTGAATGGGCCTCCTCCCAAAGTATCGTAATTTTTAGGTCAAATGATAACAGGAGTCAGGATGAACAGAAAGGCTGTGAGCTGGGTGCCCAAATCCTCGAAGTGGTGATATAATCCATAGGACGATAAACGTCGGTGTCTTGTAGGACAACAGCAGGAACAGAGGGACACTGAAGGTGTTGAAGTCAGAACCAGGGCTTTTATGTGGGTCCTTGGAAGGAAAAATGACACTGCTGACACCCTTTTCGAAATGCATTGTGAAGGGAAGAATCTTAGGAGACTGCAAGGATCGCTGAGTTCTCAGGTTTAACAATGGTTGAAAATCCTCAGAAGAGGCCCCCAAATATAAGTGGTCATCTCAGAACTTCTTGAGGGCTTTAAGTTACTATCAGAAAGCAGCAGCGGTCTGGATTCACTTTATCTACCTAAGCCTACTCAACAGACACAAGGTTCACCCCTGGCTCTTGGAAGGAGGTTGTTTTCCTTGAAAACCTCGGGAACCCAGTACACACCCCAGCGGACTGTAACTGTAATGGCTCCTGGGAAGCCATTAAGAACCAGAATCTGATTTGCACACAAAGATCCTGGTTTTGCAATAGCTCCAGTCTGCTCATAAATTTAGTCTTAGAATGGTCATGGTCATAGTATGGGGAGGTGGGGGGATGGGTAAAGGAGGGGCAACATCATCCTCCAGCCCACAAAGCTCAGGGATCTGAAGTGCTTTCATCAAGAGTCATTCTGGGTCCCTAAGCAAAAATTTCTCAAGTTGTCTCCCTCTGGACCTATGGCAATTCTGTTCATTGTAAGTTCAAATACCACTGTTTCAGTCCATTACTCCAAGAAATACTCATCTCATCCAACCAAAAGACCCTCCTTTTTCCCTAGGCCCCAGGTCCTGAGTGGCTGCCTGGGGTAGTAGTTCTATATGGGGTCTTGATGCTCCAAGAGTGAAATTGCTCTGTAGAGCTCTGGTCTCCAGTCGAAATCTCTTTTAGCATCTAGTACAAAATAATACTCTTGGTATGAAGGTACCAAACAGAAATGTGACAACATGGTATACACTGAATTCTGGTTCAGAAGGCATCCAACTGGAATCCTTGCACTACCATCCACACAGGGGTTGGTTTGAACTGTATTCATCAGTATTCACTGGAAGACAGAATGAGTGCAAGTAGGGTAGGTTTCTATGGGGAAACAAACAGCACTTGGAAGAGTTGCAGTGTCTATGGGTGACTTACCTGCCTGTAAGGGACTGCACGGGAGCTAACATAGCAGCTTTGTTCCCCACTTGACCTGCAGGTAAATGAGGAAGGCAGTGAGGCAGCAGCAAGCACCGCCATTGGGATCGCTGGCCGTTCACTGAACCCCAACAGAGTGACCTTCAAGGCCAACAGGCCCTTCCTGGTGTTGATAAGGGAAGCTGCTCTCAACACTATTATCTTCATGGGCAGAGTAGCCAACCCCTGTGTTAACTAAAGTGTTCTTCTTATCCTTTGCACCTCTTCCTATTTTGGTCTGTGAATAGAAGTAAAAATAAATACATCTACTCCCATCTCACAATTATGAATGGACTTTGCCAGTTGAAATGAAGACAAGGACAGGAAGATGCTACTGGGGATCTGGTAAAATGATGCTTTCAACCGTTCTGTACCAGTGAACACACCTGAGTCAAGACAGAAGGAGGGAGATGTCACTGCTCCATCTTAAAAGATGGCAGGCTTCCTGAAGGGGCAGGGGGAGCTGGGAAGCTCAGTATTCCCATCATACTAAAGAATATCCAAAAATTAAAAATGAATTAATGTCTATATACAGAAAAGACAGAGATTCGACTCGAGTATTAAACCATTTAGTTCTCAAACCACTCACATGCATAATGTTCTTTTACACAGTGTTAAAATAAAGAGGAAAATGTATTTTTATACAGAATTTCAAGTATACATTAATAGACTTTTCAGATTACTAACCAAGTTGCTAACATTTTATTCACATTGTTCTTAAAGCTGTTCAATGAGAAAGCTTTTGCTAAACTGCTTTAAATATGTTTATTAAACCCTTATCTTCACCCTTCCTGGTCTCCTCCCCCCTCCCCAGTCTCCACCCCGCCTTGCGCCCTCCCCCTCCCCTGACACCACAGGGCTCCTGGGGCTCTGGGAGACATGCAATCTCACCAACAGCTATTGGCTTGTCATCAGGGGGAAGGTCAGAATCTGCAGGAGGAGACTGAGAAAGCCTGTCAAATTAAGGGAGAGAGCAAATCTGATACATGGATATGACACCATCAGGGTCTTATCTTACAGCTTTTGTGTTTTCACTTGACTTTCTAATTTTAAAAAAACAAAAAACTCAGCCGTCCACAAAAGACCCCAGAAGTTTCTGGCAATTTGGCAGCTGAAACAATAACTGAGTATCTTCCCCAGTGAAATTTCAAAAATCAGGATATGCATTTTGAACTTTTTCCTTTTGGTTATTTTTCCCTTTGGTGGTGGGATGGGCACAGCTTCAAAATGGGTATCATTGGTGTGTTTACATTAAGGAATCTGGATAATTTCATGGGGTCTGGCAAGAGTTCTCCCTCCTCAGCTCTCTTCCTGAAGTAATCTGGCTTCAGGGCCAGGAACAGCCACTCTCCTTGGGTATTAAAGTGCATTTTTTTCAGTAAAAGGGAGTAAGGGGAGGTGTGGTTTACACTTAAGTGATAATTATTAAGAGGGTTAGGGGGCAGAAAATCCTATTCCTATATATAGGTATTTATAATTAAGGTCATAATACAAGCAGATAGACTCTAAGGAAGTCAGACTTACAAGCCCAGCCAAGCGCCCTCTGAGGCGTGAGCACGCCGGCCTGGCGCTGACTCTTCCGAGGCATCTTTAACAGAGTATCACTTCAGATTAAAGACACAAACCTCACATGTCCTTTTTTCAAAGGGAAAAAACAGATTGGTAGGTTCCTACAGTTAAAAACTCTACCTCATTCCCTTTCAGGGATAACATTTTAGAAACTGATTGTCTGTTTTATATGAATTCTTGATTCACAAGTTGTGAAGAAATGTTAGGTAAGCTTGTTACTTACAGACATGATGGCAGCCTTTAAAAAGTCAGAAGGTGGGAAGAGTTGATCCATGCTATCAGTATCAGCTGAGGGGAAGTGAAGTTTTCCTACAACCTCTTTGATAGCTAACACCAGAATCGTATTTTCTGACTATTTTCCTTCATTTTAAATGCTTTATTACTTCTTGGGGGACAAACCCAAGAGTTTTCTAGAGAAGTAAAATGCTACATTATTAGGTGTATGAAGAAGTGATGGGCTCAAGGTGAGAAGGGAAAATTGTCCTGGATTCTGGCCTCTGAGTCCAGTGTGATTTGCTTTTCACAGTGACCAGTGGGAAGGCACAGTGCCAGGGACAGGGAGATGGGGGACAGTTGTCACCCACCATAAGCACCATAGAGAACAGTTGGGATAAATTTCTTTCAGACTGTGTCCAGCTGAAGGAAACCACATTTCGGCTACATCGACTTTTCTATCTCTGAGCCCTCAGCCTACTTCTCTTCTCAGGCAGAGTGTGAGTGAGTACCACTGTGAAATTATGAAGAGCCAGGAAACCCACATGGTTTTCCAATGTGCTTCTCTCTTTATGCATGCCCAATATTAAGAGTTCTAATTTTAAGTTTTTTTAAAGGGGAAGCCACTGGGTCCTGACTTGAACTGGGAGATCTATTTAAATTCTGTCCTTAGGTCACAAAATAATGCGATGGGCTAAAACTGTGAACAGACCACAGCAGATGAAAAGTTAATGGGCTAAGATAGAACACATTTCTTTTGCCTATAGTTTGGGAATGTTTTCCTTTTGTTGAGAGTAGGGAAGTGGGTCAGTGAAACCACAGTCAGAATAGCATTTGTTCTGCTGTTTCAGAAAGGATTTCTTAGAGGTTTAAGAGGAATCAGTGAGCCAATCCAGCAGGGCAGAACTTGACATAACTTCACAGTCCTGATAGAGAACCCTGATAAAGAATGTTTAATTCCTTGCTTAAAATATAGTACAAGTCTCTATATTTTTTACCATTACTTTTTCATCTTCCTATTTTCTCCCCACAAAAATCTTAAAATCCAGTGTGGTATGATTTGCATAAAGTTCAACAATGTTTCACAGTACTCCACAATGTCCCTCAGGATGAAACCCCAAGGAGTTACTCTCTGGATGCATACACATTCCAAAGGCTATTGCTTTTCTATCCCACCCAGTACCAGGGAGCCTTCACAAGTCTAAGGCATAGGAGGCATCTTCTCTAAGTGACACTGCAGTATATACGTGCTAACCAAATAGCTGGGCCTTAATGTAATCTTGATGACATTTCTGAGCCTGATGCTAATTCAGTCCTCTGAACTAACCAATCTTTCTTTCTTGAGCACATCACATAGTTGAAATTTAAATTATCAATTACTTGCAGGCAATTTATGAGTGAAAATTTCTGTGGTGCCCAGAATTCTCTCAGAAGAGACACAGCTGTATTTGACGTTGCTCTTAAATACAAATGTCTTTAATGAATTAGAAATCACTGGGTAGTCAGTCAGTTTGAACAATGGTTCTCACTTTTCGAGGGTGATCAAACCATTCTCCCCACCCCATGATGATGTGAGGCTGCCACAGGCAGGTAGCTTTACTACCTAGTATGGGAAGAACACAAGTAGGGAACCTCATCTGGGAATGATTGGGATAGGTCTTTGACATCCTGGAAAACAGATGCTAAAATGACTCACTTCACATTTTATGTAAAATTCAAAAACATTTAAGTCTTACTAGTGCATTTCATTCACAAAGAAATAAGGAAAAAGTGAGAGTCAATTTACACTGAATCTCACTTAGAAGACAGGCTAAGAGACACATAAAATCCTGTGTATCACTATCACCGAGGCAGGGTCTTTTTCTCCATTAACTGTAACAAAGCTACTGTTTATTTTACAAATAGAAATCACCCTAGGTGGCTTGGCGTGGCTCTTCAAATAAGTTCAAGTGCTCTCTTTTAGCCAGCAGAGTGGAGAAACCTCCACTCAAATCACATATGCAAAGAAAAGAAGACTCTAGAGACCAGACTTTGAAAATATGTTTTGCTTACTTATGTCTACTTTGTATCTGGTATAGAGAGAAGCCTGGATGGAGGGCGACAGCTCTCTCCAGAACTGCTCTGGGGAAAAACAGATGATCTTTTTACCACTGGAGCCTTGGCCCACTGTAAGCTTTAAACTCAGAGCCATGCCTGGGAAATCAATAAAGTACCTGTGATAAAAAGAAAGCCAGACTGCAGTTATCCTGCCAAAGACCACTGGGGATGCCTAGAGAGTGTTTCCTAACCGTGGCTGCCCATTAGAATCATTCAGGTTGCTTACGAAGCCCAGGGTGCATAGCTAACTGAGTAGATGGCAATTATCCGGAGGGAACCCCAGGCATCAATTATTTTTTAAATACCCCAGGTGATTCTAATGTGCAGCAAGATGAAGAACCAGTGGCCTAGATCAACTAGCTCTGTAACAGAAAGCATTAAGGCCAGTGTTCACCCAAGCCGGTGGGAAGAAAGGTAAGACTTCATGCTCCCACCATGATTCGTAGATTTAATATGCTTCCAAGAAATTACCTAGGCATTTCTCACTTTTTTGTTTTTAAATAAATCGCTTTGGCTGTACTAGGCCACAATGCCAACAGTTACCAATTTAGGTAAGACTGCACCTAAAGTTTGTAACAGCAAAACAGCTGGGGACAGGCCTCGGATGAGGTTGTGAACACAAAAAGAAGGTAAATTAGAATTTTGCCAAGCAGGAGTTAAAATTCCTGAGTCTAGTATATTAGCATGGCTTATAGGCTGACAATTACTCTAAAGTTAGAAAAAACAATAGCTGTGGTGAACAGATTCCTGTGATTTCACTGCCTCACCTCCCTACGGTTTTCATACTGCATTCAGACAGAGGTGACGCTATCAGCTGTGATCTCTGAGTAATGCTTATCTCAATTCTTGGAATTTCACACTCTGTAGCTTGCCCTACCCAGTCACCAGAAAAGTAGTTACCAGCTAGAACTTAAAACACAGATGCCAACCTTGAAAAACCTGAAAATGGATCACTCTCTCATTTTCACTCCTAACTGGAGAATCCCCATTTAGACATTACCACCAGCCAGTGCATTAGGATGAAGAGGTAGAAAGCATTCCAGGATACCTATTAAAAGACTAATAGTCCTGCCTCAGCTTAACAGATGTTCAAAAGGTAGGTAACCTGACTTAGGGTATTAGTGCCCCAAATAGCAAATCAGTTGAGTTTCACACCTGGATTCAAAGATTAGGTGATCTGCCTAGTGGCATTTTATTACTGAAATTGAATTTCCTCACATTCACAACATTCAAGAAAGGCCACCTTGACTACTGTTAACAGTATTGGCATTAAAAACTGGAATACCTCTATTTGGAGCAAATAAAAACAAAGCAGGTCATCCAAAAATCCATGTCACATATACTTCCGTGTTAAGGTATCTGCAGACAGCTCATTATCTGGAAAATATGGTTAATATTCCTGTCCCCCAAAAATGGACTGCAAAATGGCATTTGAAAAAACCCCCTCAGGATTCAAACATATTTTTCACATCATTAAAAGGAGCTGGGTACATCTTTAAAAAGAACAGAAAGACTCCACTTCCACTGGCTACTCTTGCCAAATAGAAGCCAGTGAATAAAAGAACTAAACTTAACGGTTCTGAAATTGTTTAATTTGGGCAAAAAAACTGAACTTTAACATCTGAACATGACCAGAAGAACCAAGACACTGCAGCCTCTGTATTTTGGGGGTCTGGCTTTCATTTGCTTGCTACAGCCAAGTGCT